TCACATGAAAACAATTAGCCGCTGGAATAATCTCCCCAGGGAAGTGGTGGATTTCCCATCATTGGACACTTTTAAGATTCAGCTGGACACTGTGCTGTCTAGACTGTGCTTTTGCCAAGAAAGGTTGGACCAATGATCCATGAGGTCCCTTCCAACCTTGTATTCTATGATTCTATGAAGTGAATCTGAATTTGATGAGTACTCAAAACACGTAAAGCACTGCTTGGGCTCTGCTGCTAATACGAGAAAAATCTGTCAGTGTGAACTCATAAAACCTACTTCAGAAGAAGTCTGAAAATGTATCACCCACTAGAGTTCATATCAAAGGAGTCAAGGCAGTTGAAAGCGTGTTTCTCCTTACTGGAGTGTTCTGTGCCCTGGGGGCATATACCTTCATATCCAGAATTAATCAGCTGAAAATAATGTGGCTGGAGGCCCCAGCTTTTCTTGTTTGTAACAGGAAAACAGCCTGGAGGCTGCTGTTCTGAAATAGGTTTGCTGTTGGTGAGATGCATAACTCTGTCTACACCAGCTGGTTGATATCCACCTCGCCCTGAGAAGAAAGGCTGTCAGTATTGCTATATTTTTCAGTCACTAGAATGTAATCAATTTTAAGGATAAGGAAATACAAGAGGCCCCCAAACATAATCCAGTCTAATTTTACTCTAAAATACATAAACGAGGACAGAAGGGAAAAAAGTGGTTTCTCAGACATGTTACTGCGATTTCCATTTCAAACCAGGGTTGAATTACCTCCTTTCAACTTGCTTTTCACCCTCCTCAAAAGTAACTTAAAATTGTTTGTTTAAGGACTGGAAATCTCTCCTGGCCCACTCACCAGCTGAAATTAAGTGGAAAGACTCTTCAACAAGACTCAGCTGGCCTGCAAACCTGTCTGAGAATTTGTGAACTACATTTAATGATGTTTCCTTGCTTTACATTTCTTTATTTGAAAAAATGTTAGTACACGCAGACCCCCTTCCTCATTTCTCTAAACAAATGTAATAATTCTGCTTTCAAAATGCGTCCCCTACAGAGTAAGTACACACTGATGGGAAAATGCATGTAAATCAGAGTAATAAGAAGCATTAAAAAAGCAATAAGGAATCTGCACACCCAGACTCTACTGATAAGACAGGAAATTCTCCTGAGGTTTATCAGATTGCTAATGTCAAACTACGGAAACAATTTGAAATGAAGGTATCTGTCCTGACCACGCATTCTGTTCTCAGTACACCCATACAGAACCCCAGAAATACAAAGTACTGTGTCAGAAAAGGTGTTCATGGAAGTATAGAGTGAGGCGTTTGTGCACTCCAGACAAACTCCTATTTAAAACAAAGATAGATAGTTGCACAGACTCCAGAAACTGGGTTCCTTCAGCCCAAATGCAATCCTTACTCATGGAACCTCCCTTTTTTCCACCTTGTGTTGTTGCTGGAGTCACTTGAAGCCCTTATCAAATCAGTACCACTTAACAAATACCAGAATATGTGTTTTATACTTGCACAGTTGAACTTTCAAAGAACCCCTTTGTGGCCATTTCAACATGATTAACGTAGAGATCTGATATCTCTAGATCACTACAACCTCATATCCCCATGCAGGTATTCGTACTATTCAAGTGTCTGAGGACCTCTTGCCTGGGATGAAGAAAGGGAAGGTTATCTCCCATAGAGTCTTGCTAGGAAGCAACCTGCTACAGGTGGACTGCACAACAGTGTGCAAAGAAAAGGGAGTACTCAGAAAGACTCTCCTTGCTATCTAAGAAGGTTTCTGTCCATCCCAGGGGCAACACTCTCTCAAGCTGCAGTTATTATTAGGCAATTCCTTTCCAGTTACTGTTCTCAACAAGGTAAGCAGAGTGTGGCTGTAGTTTCCCAAATGTAGGAACAAAGAAAGAATGCCCTTGCAAAACTACCTGTAAAGTTTCATTGGATTTAGCCTAAAAGAAAAAAAATGTGTTAAGTTTTTATGGCAATGAGTTTGCAACCTCTCTTAATACAAGAAAAATCTACTAGTTAACAGTCCTGCAAAAACATGTGGGTTGTGTAAAATTGCACTTACTCTAATATCTAGAGATTGTCTAAGAGAAGTAGTTCATTTGTTAAGGGACTAGAAAATTATTCTATGTGCACTCAGAATTTATGATCTCATTTCCAAACCTATTGGTCAGACTTGTCAATCGTCTCCCATAATCCACTATTTCAATTAAAGAAGAGGTGAACAGAAAAGGAAAATTACAGACACATATAAGATGGAGATGACCTAACTCTGTATTATTCAACAGCTTAAGGAAAGAGCGAAACTAATTCACTGCTGACATTCATCGGCTGAAAAATATTTCATTGTCCAGATGAGGAAAACATTCATGCACACACTTAATTTTAAGCATGTGCTTAACACTCATTGCCTTTTAAACTAAGAAAAAATATTAACTTGGAACTCAGACAGAGGATACTCACTGATTAAAAGGCTACCAAGACAGTAAGGCTTTTGTAAAGCCTTTTGACTATGTAACTTCGAAAAGGGAATGATTTGCATCACACATTCAAGTCGAGTTCAACTACTCTGCAAATCAACATGAATCTGCATGAGTAAAACCAGGGGTACCAGCAGCCAGCTCATAGTACAGCCCAACTCTAAAAATTACTACTCTGGTCTTCATTCAACAATTTCTCCTGTGTAACACTGTACTGAGAATCTGTGTTTTCATGGACTTTGGAAGAATGAACCTTCTGGTAGCAAAATATAGCATGGGAGTCCAAAACTGCACTGTACTTTCTAACTTCAGGTAAATACTGTTTCAGTTTAACTTTATTTCTACCACCACTTCCAAGCTAACAGAATTTGTTATTCATTAAAAGAGATACCAACATTCAACTTTCATCTGCTTAGTCTTATATGGAAATAATACATTTTCTGTATATAAGGAATTGCTTGCTAGTCAATATCAACCACAAACTGTGAAAGAAAACAAAAGAACGTGGCCACATTTCATTTTAATCTGTATGGGTTTTGTCCTGGCATCTAGATTTTAGTTTAGTAATTATTTTATTTTTTTCTTAAAGGGCAAAAGTAAAATAATTCAGCTACACGAAAAATATGTGCACATCTTCATTAAAGTGGTAATAATTTAAGAATGTCTTCCAAGATTTAGATGCTGTAAATATTGAAATAAATCAAATAAACATAAACCCATAAATATTGAAAATACTAGGAGCTGATTTTAAAGCACGATTTGAAGTTGATAAACAGCATTTAAAGACATGTTTGCATTTTCCCTTAATCAAAAGTAATTGCATATTTCTTTTCTTCCCCATGAAGCATGACTGGAGGTAGGTCTTCTAAAAATAGAAATACAACAACTTTGCCAATACAGCTTAAAAAAAAAAAAAATCCACATCTCCCAAAATGACACTTTAATAATCAGATAATTTTGCACATTTGACTTATTTCATCAACACCCATTTTTTGTGCTCATCTGAGTGAAGATTTCTGGCTAGAGTTTGTGTGATGATGCTATTAAAAGTAAAGCTTTTGGATAAAATGTGAATCATCAGTTCTAATCTATTCAACGTGGTTTGCAACTTCACCTTGTCCAGTCTTACTTCTTCCTCAACATCCAAAGAAAATCATGCTACAAAGTGTGTCTTCACTGGCTTTTCACTCATACTTTGGCCACAAAAACTACTTGAATAACTACAGCAACAGCCCCTGTATTGGCAAGCACTGTCTACCATTCATGTTGCAATTGAATGTAGCTATAAAATACAAAGAAAAAAATCTCAGGTCTTAATGCAAATTTATTTAATAATATTTTCTTGTAATTCTCCATGTGCTATATATAGATAATTCTTTATATATATGTGTGTGTATACATATATATTTATATATATTGTTAATTTTTCTTTTGTTGTTTCAGAGTAGTCATAATGCTCTGAATATTTTGAAAATAGTTTCCTGGCATTATCAGTATCACTGAAATGAAATAACTGGTTTGACTCTATGTTACGCTATTAGAAACAATACATCATTTTGTCAGGAAAGAGGAATTAAAATGAAATTATTTGAAACATCTTAGCACTTTTATTCCTAGGGCTTTGGGGAGGGAGACCAAAGAAGGGATTGTATAATATGATCCTTATACACTACCATCTATTGCTGGTTAAACGTGGTGAACAACCTCTCTCATACATTTTCCTTTTGGTATTCCCTGCAAGTGCGTCTGAAGTTCACTAGGAATGGTAGTGTGCTTGTGAGAATAACAGATGGATAATACTGTTTACAGTCAGGGAGGGATATTATTTAAACTTCACCAGCCAGATTTGCCAACAAACCTTAGCAATGCTGAGAAACAGCCCAGCTGCCTTATGGTGACCCCCTCCTTATGGAGGCCTGTTCTGAACTAGGAGTTAACTCGGTGATGGCACTGAAAGATGATGCAGAGTTACCTGAGGTAGCCTTTTCTCCAGGTTGTGTTCAAGAATATCTCTGTTTGATTTATTTCTCTGCATTTTCACCCCCAACTTAAATTGCACATTGTATTATTCTCCCTCTGTATTTCCAGTCACTTTTTAGTCTCTATTTATAGGTTAATAATGTATTGGCTCTATATAAATACCCAATTATCAACATACATGTTTGTATCATGGGACTGAGTTAACAAAAAGTAAAAGAAAATCTGCAGAAAAACTTAGTTTGTAAATATAATCTCTAAAGTTGCCTACCACTAATATGCATTTCTCCAGAACCTATCAGTCATGATCAAATCTGAACACTGAACTTTTAGTTTAATTAATTACATTTGCTGCCTGTTCAAGTAAAACTAGAAAAAAACTATTTCAGAGCACAAACCAGATTGTACAGTCTTTTCCACGAAGCCAATTTGAAACCCCAGCTCTGGATGTAAGGCTGCCTATTGCTCACGTGAACAAGCCCCAAGTAGCTTTAATCAACTCCATAAATAATGGCAGTGCTGACAAAGTCAGTGAACTCACCACTTGTCCATCTCTCCCTGGAACCCCAGGCACTCCGACAGAACCCTGGTGGGAAACAGACGCCGGTGTTTAGCAAATTAAACAGGTCATGAAACCTTTCATCTCTTAATACAGTACTTAGGAATGATGGCGAATGCTTGCTTACTGTAACTGCAATAAATTTTTCAAAAACGAATTTTTACTTGAGTTCTCCTTTCAGTTGACATTTTATACTAATTAGGCATGTTCTCATGTTGTATATTTTAATGACTATCTCACTGTATGGCCTTTCCCAGAAACAAGCTTCAAGCTGATGGCTGCTTTGTAATGTTGTGGATGCTTCACAAGAAATGTAAGAATTAAAACACAATTCCATTTAATGCTCTCCATAAATTTGAGACTGATCATACACAACCGAACACAGCACCTGAACAAAACCATTAATGCTTTAAGAGGGATGGTTCAAGCTCAAAAACTGCTTGCGGCAGTCTATTTTCAGGCTTTTAAGAGATAATCTGCAACAACTCAGCCTGAAAGTGCCAATTACAGATAGCCTTTTAAATTGCATCAGTATTACTACAATCGAAATTTAAAAGCCAACACAGGCCAAACACAAGGAGCACACAAAAAGGAAAGCAAAATATTAGCATTGACTTGTGATATCAGAGGGATCTTTTTACAAAGCTGTCACAGTATAAGTTTCTGTTACTTGTGATATCAGAGGGATCTTTTTACAAATCTGTCACTGTAAGTTTCTGTACGACGGACAATTTTTTTAAGGAACTTCTGCAACTGTTGGTACAGCTGTTCAGTGAAAACCTGAGGTATGAGGAAAGCAAGAAAACTGCATGGGTTTACACAGTGTTCTCCTCTTTGTATATAATAATGGTGTTTCTCAGCAAGGAAACTGGAAGCATTATTTTTATTTTTCATTTATAAACACCTTAGCAGGATACAAAGACACACCAGCTGTTTGAAAGGCTGGCACGCCAAAAAGGGGACTGGGAAAGGCAGAACCTTTCCCAATAGTGAAATATGCAGTTTCCCAGAACCCTTAAAACAAATAAGCACCCTGTGAATCCTTTCATGCCCTGCTTTCTCTGCATCCCAAGAATCAGTGCATGACATTTCTCCCTCTATTCATATTGGTTAGAGGTTTCACTAGAAATGGTTTAGTCAAAGGACACCAACACCCAAAGGGAATGCATCCAAAATGGATGCACATGTTTGACAATGAATAGAGTTGAGAAATTCTGTGAAACAAGAAAAGGAAGCAACCCATGAGGGCCTCAAAAAAACCTCCAACATTTGAATGCCCAGGAGGCTCCAGCTCATAGTAGAGCTGCAAATCAGTAAGAAATCATACACTGGCATCCCAGTGCATCTCCATGACCCAGAATGCTCTCCCCTTACTCCCAAAAGCTTTCACTTTGGCATTCCTGTTATTGCCTCTTTTTGCTGGATGCACGTTCATGACTGCTAGGGACATGACAAAGGGACTCTAGTGAACATTATCACTTCTTTGCATAATTTTTCCAGAAAACTAGAAGACAAAGCACAAGAGGGGGATTACACTGTCAGCCTCAATAAAGTATCCTATTCATGCCAGTTCCTCCTCTCAGTGACAGTCTTCTATAGCTGCTGATTTTTCTTATGAGACATAGGATGTTAGAAAGCATAAATAAAGCTGACTCTACCATGCCTAGTAAAAGTTTATCAGATATGTCTCCTCTCAGTGACAGTCTTCTATAGCTGCTATGAGACATAGGATGTTAGAAAGTGTAAATAAAGCTGAGTAAAAGTTTCTCAGATATGCAAAAGCTCATCAGCACATGGATTTTGCTGATGCTGTACATGTAAAATACCCACCTTCTCAAGTCTAAGGGTATAATTGTAGAATGGCAACTTAGACATCAGTATAACTTTACAATGTCGCATTCTTTCATTGCCAAAAATGAAGGGTAGGAAGTCGTCTTCTTCAGCCTGCAAACGCTGTACAGCTGACAAAAATCTACCAATTTATATGCTTTGGGATTACATTTTTACGTATCAGGGGGATGTTTCTTTTGTTCAAAAAGTTCTATTTGAACAGATCCAAGCACACCCTTAAAGAATATTACGTCAGAAGAAAAAAACAGGGGTGGCATCCTTCTCACATATGTTAATACTATTTATTCCTGTCCTATTTCTTTTTTTCTTTATATAAATTAAGCCTTCTTTATTAAATATCTTCCATACAACTTTTTCATCTTTTGAAATCAACTAGAAAATTACTTGGCTTGGGGGTGCATGGGTGAGATGCTGGGAAAGTGCCACTTATTAGCTGTTATTGCTGATGTATCTAGGACCGTTTTAACAGTGTAATTCCATAAATCCTAAGCTCACTCCATCAAACTAGGCAGTCAGCTTTAATGAGTGTAAATAATGCTGAAAGCATTCCCAGGAAGTCAGGTCTCGGGTTACCGGAGGAACAGGAAGACACCGGCAGACCACCTGAACACAGCCAACCAAGCACCATTTATCAGCAACACCTATGGCCTTTGTTTCTGCTGCTCAATTTTTGTAGTCATATGGCACTGATCTACTTGAGTAAGGACATGCATTTAATCAGAAACTCTATCTCCCCACCTTTCACAACGTTTTAGCTTTGGTTTCCTAGTTGTATTAGTGCACAAGTAAGAAAATTATAATGACCTTTTCAACTGAAAGTTAAGCAGACAGATTGAAACCAGTCTGCTCTGCATTGCCTGAACTTCCTATGATGGGGGAAATGAGAAATCTGATGTCTCACATTATGTTGCTACATTTTGCAAAATCAAAATTCAGAATCTAAACTAACTGATTCAATGCAGTGTGCAGTAGCTAATTCCATCCACCTTTTCTGCTCTCTATTTGGCACCCGGAGGAATAATCACTTTCACAGTGTTGTTGTTTATACTATACCTTTTGTCCTGGAGGCCCCTGAGGTCCCTGCAAAGGGAAAACAATTCAATTAACATCATAGCTCCAGCCGATTTAAACTGAAATGACCAATTAAAACTGCCTTATTGTGTAAGCATTCTGACACTGGACTGAAACCAGCCAATGTATTATACATCAAGGAAAGGTATAACTTCATGCTCAAAATGCACAATGGGTCTTTTCTCTTCTCTTTTGGAACTGATCTAACTACTAACTGGAAGACTCAAATTTTCTTCCCTTCTGATATTTTCTCTTCCAACCCATCCATTTCTTCTAATACTGACAAATCCTTCAGCATTAAGACAACCGTGGTTCTTCCTCTTTCTGATACCAGCCAGTTGTGTGTTCACAGCATAAAAACAAAGTTTATGCAAACAAGTATTTTTAAGATAGAAAAGAAGTAAAAGCCTAAAAAAAAGAAAAGCCAAAATCTTCTCACCTTTTAGGTATCAGCATACATGACTATGTTTTACCCAACACAGGCTCTGTGCCATCACTTGCAAGTTAGGAGAAAAATCATTAAGAATTAACTTTAGAAATTATTAAGAGCACTCTTGGGAAGTAAAGAGTCATGATTTTTGTCCCCATGACCTAAAAAGGCAGGTGGAGATAATTCAAGAAAGCTTAACTGCTTAAATTTAACAGGAGTCAAAGTCTCATTGATTTTAACGTGACCCATTTCTCATCTGTCATCTCCGAAATACCCAGCTGGTTTATGGCCACAGCAGAGAGGGGAGGCAGCAGGAAAACCGACCAGCCAACCATGTCTTGGACATTTTGGCAGTCTGAATTGGTAAGAGCCAGACTATATCCAGCACAATTTTATTTTTAAGGTAGTGTGGAGTTAGGCAGAATCCTCCCCTGTTGGTAGATGCAGGACTTGGAGTATTGCTCTGATGTAACTTTAAATTGCTAGCATGGAAAAGCTCCACTGGTGGTAATTCTGGTCCTGGATCCACTGATACATATGAAACTTTGCAGTTTTAAATGCATATTCATACATCTAAGGCTGGACATCAAACCTTGTAACAGGTTTGCAAAGATCAGTGTTGCTCCTTGAAACTTTTGCCCGATTGTCTCAGCAGAACTAGAGTCTTGTAAGCATCTCCTTTTGACTGTAGGGACGGATTTCATTAATGGAAAGCCACCTGTGAGGTGCAGTGTGACAAATTTGCTCCCTTGTCTTCAAAAGGATGCAAAAGTCTCAAAGCACTCAGCACTGGTGATATTCAGAGCAGTGTTCATCTGCTTTTTCAGACTGGAGAAAAATCCCCCCAACCTGTTGCGTTTCAAAAAACCCTGCTGTTTAAATCAGGTCTTCTTTTCACATTAAATGCCTGAATTCTAACCCCAAGAGTTGCTAGAGGCTGAGGACACTAGTAATACTGAAAGTGGTAATTGAAGAGCAGCCCATTGCTTAACACTGCTTGCAAACAGTCTCCAAGAAAACTAAAGATGGGTAAAAAACTAAATACAACAAATCAAGAGGATTTGCTGGGTAAGGGACATACTCCACAAATTATTTTTTCCCTTTCTTCCAGAGCATCCCCTTCTTCTGTGAGAAAGATGCATGTTTGGCTATCATCTTAAAAACTCCAAGAAGTTAATGCTCAAACTAGGGCTTTCCTATATCACCGTTACCAAAATAGGCTCCACATGTCTAGGTCCTGGGCATCAGTTATCTGTCGACCTTTCCCATGTTAACCTGTTGCATTCTGGAGGTTTCAGGTCTTGAGAAAAATCCCTCCATCAGTAGGTCAGACTGAATAACAAACAACTACCTTCATATCTCATTCCTGTTACTTTTATGTCCAAGGAGTGGACATTGCCTCTTCAGTTTCTAACTACTTATGAAGCTAATAAAACCTTCTAAAGACATTCAGCTATATCAAAGTACCATTTGAGAGTCCTCAATACGAAGTTACTATTGGAAAGTAAAATGATCATTCACTTATTAATACTATCCCCAAAGTAAACTGTTAAACGTGCTGCTCTGCTGAGCACTTTGTGCCTGGTGCTTGCAGCTGTCAGCCTGTGGGATGGATATAATTCTCCAGATGTCTGCAGGAACAGATCTTTCCCTAGAATCTCCCCCTCACTGTTGCCACCATCCCAGCTCCTCCAGAGGAGTTACTGAGTAAGGAAATATGTATATAGTAGCAGAGTCTTGCTCTTATTTTGCCTTAAAATTTAATCACGCAGAGAAAAGAAGCAGCAGATACTTATCAATAAATATTTTATACAAGTAGCAGTTTTCCATTTCTGGTACTTAAGCCTTTTCTCAACCTGGAAATAGCTCTGGTATCTCATGCCCATCAACCTACCATGCCTCCTGATGACAAAAACTGTCCTCAACAATACAGCTACCTTCAGCCCTATGCTAGAAAACCAATCACAATTAAAAGCTTACTTAAAGTGATACATGTCACAACTTACACACGATAACAAGTGCTTCTTATCCCTTTGAACTTCAGACTATAAAATGCAGCTGAATAGGAACAATTCTTCTTTAAAGCACTGCTCCCTAGCATTGGGAAAGAAAATCAAAGCCACTGGAAACTTAGCAGCTCATCCATTGACAGCTCCCATCCCGCCCCCACATAAGCCTGCCAGCAGCCACTTAAACAGGAAACCTGAAACTAAATTACCAGCAGAAAATGACTTCAAAAAACTGTAAAATACTCCAGAATTGCTGTAAAGTGCTTATTTTTCTGTGAGTTACCTACATTCTCTGAGCAAGGCACAGAATCACACCAGAGAGATAGAAATAAGCAAGTAAATGCAATCTGAGAGAAAGGGAGGAACACGAAGGGATAAAATAAAATAAAATAAAAAAAACAAAATAAAAATCCAACAAGACTTAAGTTTATTTCCAGATGTGTAATTGAAACCTTCTAGAAGAATTTAGATAGGAAATTCAATGACCATGTGGATTTTTTCCCCCTGATTATCCTACTGAACTGAGGATAGCGATGTGTTGCCCACTTGAACAGACAGTAAGACCAGCAACCAAAACCTGTATGTAGCTCTTGAGACAGGAGCAGAAGGCCAGAAATATGTGGTTTCCAACCAACTTAGGATGTTTTGGTTTTACTTTCTTTCTCTTCAACTGTTCTGTGTTCCGTGGCAGCTGCAGTTAGGCAGCTATGACAAGCTATTGCAGGGCTTCACTGAATGAGGTTCTCATTCAAACACCTCCTCAATAGGTGGATGGAAGAAGAAGGTGCATTGATCTGAAGAAACTAAACTATCTGTGTTTCTCTGGAGATGGAGAATTATTTGATAGTTACTTAAGCACCTGGAAAACTGGGTAAGCAAGTACAAACAGATGTTTATCAAAGTCATCTATGCAACTGTGTTTTTAAAAGATAAAATATTTCCACGATGAATGTCACTCTTCAATCACCGTTTTTTTCTAAGACCAACAGACGTCCAGAGCTTGTATCATATCAAACCTTGGCATAATAGAAATAATCAAATGAAGGTGGACACTTCAGGTGGGCCTTGACAAATAACTAACTTGAATAAATTAAAAAAACCTGAAAAGACTGCAGTAAATGTAAATACAGTTCTTCCTAGACTTCCCTTTTAATGTTACAATTGTGTTTTCCTTTAAAGCTTACTGTGTTCCTTGTGCTTTAGCAAGCTACAAAATAAGAATTCTGCCCTGTAAAGGTTAAAGTTGCAGTTTCAAAGCACAGTAATTCGGGGTCTGATACATTAGCAATAGCCTCTGGAGGCTTATTTGCATTCAACTTCAAGTGACTCAGTTGCTTAACATGAACATTTGAACCATGAACTAGAAAATCTGGGCATTTTCAATTTGCCAGTCAGGGGTGGCAGCAGTAATGATTTGTTTTACTGGGTATCGGAGTTCATGGAGAGGGAAAACAAACAAGAAATGGACATTCCTAACAAAAATATAATGGAATAGTGAATGTTTTTATATACTGAAAAACTTACACAGCAGAATATGTCACAACGGAGAAATACACTATCATACAAAAAATCTCTTATTCCAAACCTTTGCAAAAAAATTAATATATTCCTGTTTTTATAAGCTTCCAAACTTTCTATGTAAAGTGAAAGCTCTTTGTACCTAGAAGACCAGGTAGGTACTGTGTCTATAAGGACAGGCCTAAAAGTTCTAGGCCTGTCCCTGAGAATATATATTTCCCCTTTGGTGCCTATAAGAATCTTTAAACACTTAGAATGGAATCATAGAATCACTTCGGTTGGAAAAGACCTTTCAAACCATTGACTCCAACCGCTGTCCCTGAGAATATATATTTCCCCTTTGGTGCCTATAAGAATCTTTAAACACTTAGAATGGAATCATAGAATCACTTCAGTTGGAAAAGACCTTTCAAATCATTGACTCCAACCGTTAACCTAACGCTGCCAAGTCCACCACTAAACTACATCCCTAAGCACCGCATCTGCACGTCTTTTAGATACCTCCAGGGATGGTGACTCAACTACTTTTCTGGGCAGTCTGTTCAAATGCTTGACCACCATTTCCGTAAAGAAATTTTTCCAATCTAAACCTCCCCTCACACAACTTGAAGCTACAACCATTTCAGTGAAGAAATTTTTCCAATTTAAACCTCCCCTCACGCAACTTGAAGCTATTTCCTCTTGCCCTACCGCTTGTTACTTGGGAGAAGGGACCAACACTCACTTCGCTGCAACCTCCTTTCAAGCAGTTGCAGAGACCAATAAGGTCTCAGCATCTTCTTCTTCAGGCTCAACAACCTCAGTCCCCTCAGCCGCTCCTCATCAGATTTCTGCTCTGGATCTTTATCAGCTTTGTCTCAGCATCTTCTTCTTCAGGCTCAACAACCTCAGTCCCCTCAGCCGCTCCTCATCAGATTTCTGCTCTGGAGCCTTAATCAGCTTTGTTGCCCTTCTCTGGACATGCTCCAGCACCTCAATGTCTTTCTTGTAGTGATGGGCCCAAAACTGGACCACAGTATTTGAGGTGCAGCCTCACCAGTGCCAAGTACAGGGGGACAATCGCTTCCTGACTCCCACAAATCAATTTTTTAGCCGTCTAATGGCATAAAGAACTTAAGAAGGAAACCTGAACTAGCAGATGTGCATGAAGAAGAAAGCACAGATTTCATACAAAGTAGTCATCTGCATTTCAGTTGAGGCTGTGTTCTACCCACTGATAGCATTTTCTGTGCATAACGAGCACATGATGTAATTCTGAAAAAGTGTTCCTGCATGGTTGAGGAGTGTTTCATAAAGACTGCAATTTCTAGAGTACTAGTATGGAAACATAAAATGTTTTAGTATTGATGAATCACCTAGATAAAAGGACAACCAGATAAGAAAATAGATCACATATGATGGGAAACCTCATATCACTTCTGATTAAGCAGTGCCCCCTCCAATGCTATCTCCCTTAACTGACGAAAAGAGCAGCAATACCTATTAATTAGTGCTCAGGCAGAGCTTCTTATAATCATTTTCTTAGTCACTGTTGTGGCAACCATCACTGAAGCACAGAGGTTACAAAATGTCAAAGTCTATTTTTTCCTGAGATTTCCTGCAAGTTAAGATCAATGCAACTGCATTGGGGAAAAAGAGACTAGTTGCTGCGAGAGGCACAGGCTGAAATTTTCCATTTCATCTGCTAGTTCTTAGTAAACTTTTGCAGCTAAACAGCTTAAGAACAACACCTTATAAACTCTTCTGTGAACATGCTACCAGAATGAAAAAAAAGAAGGCTGCTGCAGAACTCTGGCCATTGAAAACAAAATCCCAATTAGTAGTCTCCCAGAGGAGCTATGAAGATTCACACTGCCTGAGGATCTGGCCTCGGCCATTGGCCTGAAAGGCTGAATTGAAGCCAGAAGCACTTCCCATCACTTCTGCCTGGTCCCTGTGAGTTCATTTTGTTAATTTTAACCTAAGAAGAAAAATCAATATTAATTCATTTTAAAGATGTCGCATTTTGCAGTCTTAGCTGCAAGGTTACACCTTCCCACTGTCTTTCACAAATAGCAATATCCTTTGGCATAACATCCTCTTTATTCTCAAAAACTAGCAAAAGCAGTAACATTAGGTCTTGCTTTCTTGAACAGATGCCCAGCAAGTCTGTATAAGCACAAAACTACTAGTTTGGAAAACAATACATCTTAAAGCAGAGGGATTTTGCATTTGGGTTAATCATTATAGTATAGATTTATTTTGCAAAGAGACACCTTTACCTGAATTCTCTGGTTATTCTGGACTGTTCTGTTCATGCTAAACATCTGTAAAATCACTTATCTGTCTTTAAAGCCAATTTTGGGGGATAAAATAATATATGGGGTTTTTTTCAGTGACAAGAAGTGGTTGATTCATACACTGAATATGTTTGAATTTAATTATTTTCCAGGGAGCTGAAAAGATTGCAAATTTTGATCTTCCAGATTTTTATTACTATGCACTAGTTTAAAATACTTTAAACATGAAAGCACCAAAACCTCTGCCACGTGAAAATTAGAAATAAAACCACTCCATGCACACCTTCTATCCTGTTGCAGTTTATGAGTCTGAAAATGTTTATCTATCAGTGTCAGCCTATGAGATTTCCCATCACTGACTCACTTTAAGTTCTCCTGAATAGTCTACAATCAGAAATCCTAGCCCTTGGGTAGAAATTAATTCATTTATGATTAATTCCGAAAATGAGACGATAAAACAGAAAAACTTTTGTATGGTATTTAAGAGTCCTTATCACCAGGAAGATCAGTCAAATGTCACAGGAAAAATGATGGATTATGAGAGGCAGAACTTAACTTTAACTGAAAAGGTTGAAAATCTAAGAAAACTACTGGCCTTCCCTCTTGCATAGCATATATTTTGCTAGTTCCACATAACGATTCCTATTTGCTCACATGTCCAAGGCCCTTTCCAGTAAGAATCAAGTACTGTGGCATGTACTATGGTTCCTCATCCAGGATGGAGGCAAGATGGAGCCAAGGAGAGCACCAGATGCTGTGAAACATTCCCTACAGTTTGGATGTACTTGCCGAAGGTTGCGGAAGCACCTGAATAATTGTAGCACTTTCCGCAGGGCAGAGAGTCTGGAAATTTGTGCAGACATAAGGAGTATGTCAGAAGCACCAAGAAGAATTAAAAGAAATTAATTACCTCTCCCTGCTACTCTGGTGCGCTTTACTTGATCTATACACAACCTAACATTTAAGCTGTCAAACTGCCTTTTAGAGCAGGCATTCAGAGCTGGAAACTCACGTAATCTGGGAACTTTCACTAATTCACGCTTGCTGATTTGATTTTTGAAGCACCTTTCTCCCTATTTAAACAAACCTTCATTTAGAAAAATAGTACCAGTTCTTTAATTCTTACACACAGACGGTTACTTCTCCCTATTTAAACAAACCTTCATTTAGAAAAACAGTCCCAGTTCTTTAGTTCTTACACACAGATGGTTACTTTAGAGCAGTGGGTCTATGACCCCGAAGGTCTGGTCTGGTGTAAAAGGAAGACACTATTGCAAAATCTGAGTGAGTTTTGTCCAGAGGCCAAGTAGATGAACGCTAAAAGGTGATGGACTATGTTTTGCTTTAAAAGCCCTCAGGTATTCTATGACCCCGAAGGTCTGGTCTGGTGTAAAAGGAAGACACTATTGCAAAATCTGAGTGAGTTTTGTCCAGAGGCCAAGTAGGAAAAAATTCTAAACAAAACCAAACCAAACCAAAAAAAAACCCTTCCCAGCTATTGCACCTATTATTACCAGGCCCTCAGAAAGCAAAAGGAAAGAACAAAAAAAGTCTGGAAGCATGTTAAAACACTAGGTGATACCTTTGGGAGGCTTTGATTTTGATTTTGTTAAACCATTATCTCAAAATGAAAAAGTACAGGACTTAAACTGCCCGATCACAGCACGTATTTCCAAGTCTCAGAATCTTAGCTTTTTCTTCCAAAAGATATTGGGTCTTGTCAATTCAAAATGTTTTGCAATTTGTCAAAATTAAATATCATCACACCTGTTTAAAACTTCATAAATTCAAAAAGATAGCAATCGTATCTGCACTGATTGATGAGTATATAATCTTCCTCCTCAGAAGCATTCAGGAATCAAAACCACATGCCACAGGCTACAACTGTGTCATCTCTCATAAATATAAGAATGACCATGAGTGTTTAGGGAGATCTTAAGGGGAAAAAAACCACCACATGTTTCACAGTTCTGGGAATTTGTGACAGACAGAAACTTCTGATGCCTTACCCTGTGGCTGAAACGGATTTACAACCAGTGGAGCTTCAATTTGCTTCCAAATGAATAGGATTAATTAGTTCCTGATGCAACAGAAAACATATACTCCCATATATGATTATTTGTAAAAAAAAGGCATTCATTTGGTTGATACATTCTCACACACACACAGAAAAAACCCAAACCCTCAGGAGAGGAAAATATTCTGAGAGTTTCAGCATGCTGTGCTGTGTCTTCACTGTTCCATTGGGCAAAGGGCCAGAGCAATTGCCACAGAGACAGCTGGGATTTTGGCCCTTAAAACAACTAGATGGTTCTTATACTACTCAATCGTCCCAAGGTGGAAACAGCTCCACTTCACAGACAGTAGTAAGTGGGCGCCAGGAACTGGGAACACCTGACTTGGCTCTTTTTTGCTTTGCTATGCCCTTGGTTGTTTTGTTTCCCTCTACTACTGCAAGCTTACAGAAGAAGTTGGCCTTATGTGACAGGCAACTGTACGTCAAAAGAGGATATTGTCTTTCTCATGTTTTCTTCACAAAAGAGGCTTCAAATAGTCTGTGACAAAGGAAGGTTAGGAAATACATAGATACAAAAATATAGATATAAAGCTTCCTGGAATTTCACATTTTAAAATGTGTATATGTCATGTATCTGTTACAGCTTCTTAACAAACTGAAAGAAATGAGTACTTACTGTCAGTCCTTGTTCTCCTGGCTTTCCTGGCTCGCCCTTAAAATATAAAAAAAGAAGAGTGTATAATTTCAGTAGCACGTCTTGAATTCAGTTCTCTACCTAATAATAAAGTGTCTTAAAAATTCCATTCTTAAACAGGTATGGCAGCTGACTGCACATTAAATGTATTATTTCTTTGCTTTTTAAACTAGTTGGCCAATCTCAGACATTTTAAGAGGCAAAGTACTATTTCACAATCATGTAATTGCATAGTTTGCAAGCCAACAGTTAAGGATTGGTGTCCTGACTCTGTCCCTTGATTCCGAACATAATATTCCATTCCAGTCAGTGGTGCTAATGGACACAGAGAAAGGTTATTTTCACATATGTGCCGAATGGAACTGTTTACATATTCCAAAACTACTGCTCTGTGTCATCACCTCAGTCAGCAGGCATAACTTAACATTACAAATTATCGTGTTCCATAAACCCATGAATATTGGTATTTTGAAACCATCCAGTAATTACTCAGCTGTTAAATACCTGGATTGGCTTTCAAAATGGTAATTCATCATTTTTCCAATGTATTCTCTTTCTGTGGGCACAGCTCTACATAAAATCAGAATCTACCTTCTCCCCTTTCTTCCCATATGAACACATACCAGGGTCTGTAGACAGCAGAATATATCAGTTGTATAATACAGCCTAAAAATACCCATCCAAAAAACAGAGTTCTTATCATTTCAGTGATCTGGTTTATAGATCACTCCCCTGTAAATCCAACAGAGCAACTGTCATAAAAGAAAACCTGTCAAAAAACTGATGATAACTGTTCTGATGTTGCTGTTCTTGGCAACTAAAAAGAACCAGAGCTGCTTCTTTGGGTGTGTGTACATTGCATTCAGAAGCAAACACATAGCATCTGCAAACACACCTAGATATTCAGAAGACAGAAACCACACAGACACAGGTTTCTGACGGCTAATTACCCAAGCTTGTTGAACTTTTCAGGTCACTCTGAAGCCTTGCTAACTTGTGTATACAGCAATCATACAGCCTGAAGTGAGCATCAAGACATCCCCATAAATGTTGGGAAATAATGGTGAAATAATTTCAAGAGTTTGTATCGTATCTTATTCTTATTACCAGCAAAAAATCCTCCTTCTTCTTTTACTTCTTCTTGGAGGTGTTAAAGTTTCAAAGTCTTTGTGCTGGTGTCTGTGTGATGCAAAGGGAAGGCACGTATTCTAGGTATCACTTTGTAAGAAGGCAATTATGCTTTGGTTTCAACATGTTCTTTTGTTGACATCCAAATAAAAGCTTAGCAGAAGGCTGGACAACCCTTTCTTACATCTCTACTCTTCCTTGGTTCTTTCTCTGCTGGCAATAGGCCCAACAGCACTTCCCTAACATTTCTACCTCCTTAGCTCTAGAGATTTTCTGCCCAAGAAACCAATACATTCTCATCTCTGGAAGCTTTAAGTATCTGCAACAGTATTGCACACTTCTGGGATGCAAAGTGATCATGACACAGACGGAGACGTGTGGGGACAGATGGAGACGTGTTGGCACAGATGGAGACGTGTGGGCACACAGGCTGCTCCTCAATCCTGCTATACTGTGGAAGAGAAGTAATGGTGACTGCTAGAGTTGCTCCCTGTACCTTGTTACCTTGGCTGCCTTACTTTCTCAGGATACAAAGCAAGTGTATGGGCATGGGGGAAAGCAAGGGCCCAAACATCATCTTACGGCTCTGGTGATTGAGGAGGACAGGCTGGAAGAGAAGCCCCTGCTTTGCTTAGCAAGGCAAAAGAGTGCCTTCTAACTGCCTTCTAACGGTGGCTGGCCACTGTAAGGACCATTCTATAGCTGTGTGATGCTTCAGCGTCCCTACTCATAACACGGTGTGGCTATTTTTTTGTTGTCAGCTCTTTAGCTCAAAGATCCACGCAAGCCTTTTAAAAAGAAAGCTCTCGCTACCCCTCAGCTAAATTTCCCTTTACAGGCTCTCCTGCTTGACTGTGTATCACATAGCCGTAGAGGAAGAAGCCTTTTGAGGATCAGCAACATTAACCTGAGGGTACAGGGCAGTAGGAAGGAGCAGGATGGTAACAACAGTCATCAATCCGGATGGTTTCTATCTGAGTGCTTGTTTGTATCTGATTCTAAAGCAGTATTATGAACTGACTTTCCATAATGCTATAGGGCTTAAGATAGCCACAGCTTAAAAAACTATAAAAAGAAACCCTTCCTTGCCATCTAAAGTCAAAATCACTACAGAACTATTATGAAATGGAATGATCTCATTGCATAAAATGCATTACTTTCCTGTTATGACAAACACTAATGTTCCCTTTGCTAAGAAGCACAAAACCCCAAGCGACACACAGCCGCATTGTAGTCAGCAACACCAGCTGATCCTCCTAGCCTCTTCTACGTGGGTTATAAAAATGGTATCACTGCGGTCAGAAATGGGCCCTGGTTTCAGTCTCACCCTCGCTACATCAAACCAGAAGCAACTCTGCTGAGCGCAGTCCATTTCACCACATTAGAAGAGCGCAAGCGAGGCCCACACGAGGCCTGAAGCCTGAGGTGATCCAGGACCAGGAAGAAATGAGTAGGTGGTCAAAGTAAAGCATTGCAATGGAAGCAATAAACTTGGAATGTCATTTCATAATCTCAAGCTAGAACTAATAGGCAATAATGGTAAAAAAAAAAAAAAAAAACCCAAACAAAAACCCCAAACCCTGAACAACAACAACAATAAAAGCAACCCTAGAGAACTACAGGCCTTAACTGCCAAGCCTTGCTGGATTGTCAAAGGAAATTTTAGCAGAGCCTTACTATTATCATCGTATTATATCATATTTGTACAGTTAATACAATTTCAGATGAGGCAAACTGAATAGGGCCAGAACAGGAGCATAGATATTTTCTTTCCTGGCAATAAACTTGGAATGTCATTTCATAATCTCGAGCTAGAACTAATAGGCAATAAAGGTAAAAAAAAAAAAACAAAAAAAACCCAAACAAAAACCCCAAACCCTGAACAACAACAACAATAAAAGCAACCCAAGAGAACTACAGGCCTTAACTGCCAAGCCTTGCTGGATTGTCAAAGGAAATTTTAGCAGAGCCTTACTATTATCATCGTATTATATCATATTTGTACAGTTAATACAATTTCAGATGAGGCAAACTGAATAGGGCCAGAACAGGAGCATAGATATTTTCTTTCCTGGTTTTATCTAAAAAAGGCCTGCAGGCAAATTTTATGCCTTCCTGCCCTGGCCCCACATAACGAGCTCTGTTTTTTCTTCAAAAAAAAACTGTTTCTGTTTCCATCACTGGTCCTCACCTTGCTAGATCCCTATGTGTCCTCTTGGCTGTGATATTTACTTATCAAGGAGGTGCATGTGTGTGTGTGGGTGCATCTGTACCTGTGGCGTGTCAGTTGTGCCTGTGACTCCATTTCCAAACTGATAACACAGTGGCATTCACGGTGAAAAGAGAGGTACTTCTTTCAAAAGAATTAAAATTAAGGAGTAATTTAATTTTAAAATTAAAATACAAAACCAAAACCATATTCATATTTTGTTTAAAAAAAAAAAAAAAAAGCCTGTGCTTATGCATTTGCTTAAAAACTGTGTAATTATCAGGTCACAAAATGCCAAAGGCAGTGGGCCTGTGCCTAAAACAAACAAGAGGCAATATGCTGGATTCTGCTGGTTGTTCTAATGAAATGCGGGGACTGAGCCAAAGAAAATGGTTCTGTTCTACTTGTGTAAAGATGGCAGAATCTGACTGCAAAATTCACCATATTTGGGGCATGATTTTTGAGGCTAAATCATTAGAACCCAGAAGTCAAGCCCAGCCACACTACGACGTCTCAAATTCAGTTTTATCTCAAAGTTTGAGTAGAAACATTTGCCAGTTGTGGAACAGGGCAGACCCTCCTCATGTATTAAACATCAATCAGCAACTGAGAAACCTTAGAATGTGTGGGGAAACTGTCAGGGGTGGGAGGCAAGGAACTTAGGTGTTACTCTTGGCCCTGCTAGGAACTTGCTCTGTGTGTGGGGGACTTCAGGTACACCATGAAATCTTCCTGTGGTTCCACTTCCACGTCTCTTACTTGCCAATTTTACCTCAGAAAACATCTTTGAAACTGAGCTGGCACGCACTTGAGAGGAATTTGGATACCGCGACAGCAAAAGACTAACTTACTGGTATGCCAGGCATCCCACGAGGACCATCTTTGCCGGTATCTCCTGGGGGACCTCTGGGTCCTGGTGGCCCTGGAGGCCCGGGGGGCCCAGCTTGTCCTTGGTCCCCCTAAATTAGTGAAAAAAACTCATCAGAAGTTTGCTTTACAGGCATCAACCACACAAAAAGACATTGATTTACCCAAAAAGACTGCAAGTCAGGCTGGAAGAAGCGATTCGTGAGTTAGACACTGGCTTCTTCACCGCTTATGGCAGAGACTGCACTTAGCCTTGAAGACCAAGGGCTTGTATCTGTCCAGTGGAATCAGTTACAGAGCAGTAGGCCCAAATTCAACACTGCCTGTCCTACCACAGGACATAAGCCAAAATTTGAGGTAGCCTTGCAATATTTTATTAATACAGTTTTCCAGAGCAAGTAACTGTTTTCAATAAGCAGCTGTTTGCTTCACAATTGGCATAATCATAACAAAGATAAGGTAAAAAAGAGAAGTCACATGCGAGAATATACCGTTTGCACAGCAATTTTTCCAGCCCATCAATGATGCAGGCATAGATTTCAAAAATGAGCATGGAAAATAACTACTTTTTCAGAAAATTGTACATTATTTTTCATATGTTTGGAGGAGTTGTTTTATAGTGACAATCAGCTAACTCCAGTAATGATTTAAACCCATTAATTTGTAAAAGCCAATTGTCAAGAGAGCTGCCAAAATGTCTTACCTTCCCCTTTAGAAAAAAGACACCAAGTCTGGTGCTCAAGTTGTTAAATTTCCAGCACACCACTGCAAACCACTGGAAAAAGTTGACTGCATCTTAAACATGGATCATCTAGCAAAGCAACCCATAGCCTTTTAATTGTTAATATCATTAACATTTTCAAATGAACACCCTGCTATAAGAAGGCATTCAACCAAAAAAGTACAGCAAAGAGTAAACTGAATGTAAAGAAGAACCCGATTCCAGTGAGATGAAGCACTACCTTAATGAGGCGGCGTTTAATGAGCTGCTGATCAGCAGAGAGAAACCCATGATTGATTTTAGGAAACACCATCTGATCAGGCAGGTGAGGTCAAAAGTTGAAGATCAGAGATGACAGAATTGAAGAATAGACATCAGAAGGCCCGAGAAAGAAATAAAGACATAGTCATTAGATTTGTAATAGCTAAAATAATATAAACCGGTGCTTCTGCCTGACAGAAACTGTGCATTTTCTTTTGAAGAAATTGACCTCGAATGTACAGGACATACTGCTGCATTAATTAATCATATTCAATGAATTAACTGTGTAAATTTTCTCTCCTCAGATTCCCAGTGAGCGTTCTTCATTTGTATTAATTTTTTCATTACCTAGGCCCTAAAAATCAGTATTTTTATACGCTGTTCTTTCAGCAAAGCTTCTAGAGACAAAGCACCAGTTCAACTTTCAGTCAGATTTTCTAACCAGCATATTGTGCCATGAAGAATGGTGTCATTTTAACAAGGACTGGAGTTCCAGCTTTACCAGATTGCTTCAATCCTTCCTGCTTAATTTGCAAATGCACTTTGAAAAAAATCTGTATCTACAGATTAAATTAAACCTCTGGTATCTAACACAAATAGTTGACTCTATATGTAACCAGTATAGAGTTCACCAACATTTTCCACACTCCTGTGTGCCTCACGGAACAGAGCTACAGAGAAATCTCATCTGAAAATAAAATACTGACCAAGATCCCAGGGAATGTGGGTGCTGCCGGGGTTAACACCACACACAGTTGTAGATTTGATCCCATGCTCTGTATCAGGAGTACTTATCGCAATGTAAAGGCAGTGAGGGTTGACTTAGGTCCACCATGAGGATTCATTGGTGTCCCGTGGTGAAAACAATTTTTCATGTGCACTTTTATGCTGATACAGAGAGACCTGACTGAACAGGTACGTGTCAGCCACAAACCTTGACGGTGAGGATCTGATTACTGTGCAGAGCAGCGACTGTGGGGAAGCCTGGCAGACCCTAGGGACACAGCATAACATAGTACCAAAACAGCACAACACAAAACGTCACAGAGACAATTTACTAACAGACAAACGGAACGAACACTATGTTTAGTGTACCCCACGTTACCTACTGACGGGAAACAGCCTCTCTGTCATATGGGAAACAGAGTCAAGCTTCGCACTGCACTGCAGATGCAGGCTGTTACTTTTACAACAAGAATATCAAGAGATTTTAGAAGCAGCAGTCCCATGGAGGTGACTTGCCTTAAAATTACAATAAATTTGACAGGTGTTAAGACTATCAGCCAGTGGACGACTGAGACATTTTCAATTAAAATGTGCTACAGCACATCAAGACAGCTATGTCGAAAGCTTTGATTCTGGATTGCTGCAGAGCCTGGCAGCAGGGACAGTGGATTTTGAAGCTCTTTGTATAATTGTATACATAATTTGTATAATCCCACTCCTCACATTCTGTTTAACATATGACATTCAGCACATAAACTGGTAGTACGTACACAATTCTAAACACTGAACAACAATCTACTGCTAGATCTTGGGTAGTCCAGAATGGCCAAGGTCAACATTTTCAAGACATATAGCAGCATTTTCATATCCAGGGCAAATTTCTTTCCCCTCAAGCGCTGTGTGTTGCATATCGTTTTTCATAGCCTACTCTACCAACACGTATCGAAAAAAAGAAGAGTGTGGCAATTGTGGCCTGCTGTGACAATACAAGGAGTGAATTTTGCTCTTGGTTCAACACCTTTCTTGTGTTGCCTTGTAGGGTGCAAACTAGACCTTCTGCTAAAGTGGAAACCTCACAGAAGGAAATCCCCAAGTCTTCTCCCTGCCTTTAGCATAGCACACTGTCTGAAGCACAGGCTTATTCGATGGCCGAGAGACATCTGTCTGAGGAACATAGAGTAAAACACAGTCTAGTAGCTCCAAGCCCCCTACACGTGCCACCTCGATGAGGTGGAGCTGGAACTGGAGTATGTGGCAGCAGCAAGGCTGCAGCTTGGCATCTCCAAAAGGGAGGGCTGTGCCTGGCTCTGGCTGCTGGACGAGGTGGCTTCCAAGAAGTGAAGTGAAGTCTCTGCTAGGGCAAAACATGTTGCCATGTCGTCTGAGCCCCTTGCAGCCCAGCTGGCCCGGTGGAAAGCACCAACAGGCGACGGCAGCCCGCCAAGGTCTCTCAACTGCAGCAGATTATTTTAACGTGGCAAATAGTTGCCCTATTCATCTCCTCAAGTAATCACATCAGAGATCTTCTAGATCACAAAGACTGCACCACTCTTTAAAAAAAAAAAGGCTCAGCAGCTTTCTGATGCCTACACATCCTTCACTAGCACCTTTGAGGCGCATTCAGCAGCTTTATTCCTGTTATTCCTCCACCCGTGAGAGGAGGAAGCAGGGACTCTGTGAGGGGATCCCATAAAGCCGGTGGCAGTTTCGCCAGCCTTCCCACTTTGTTCTGACGAACCGTGGCGTGGCGAACTGCATTGCTCACTGACCTGAAACCTCCTCTTTAGAAACAAATAAAAAGAAAACGAAACCAAAAAAGGACAAAAACTCCAAACATTTAAAGAAACTCACTCCTGAGACACTGCTAAGACTGGAATGATACATCATTTAGAAAACAGATGTATCAAATTTGCATTTATCTTATTATGGAATATAAGTTAAAGAAGTTATTAGATGGTAATGTGCCAGAATCTTTACATCTGTGACTCATTAGCCCTGCTGTGCACATGGTCTGGTCCTCTTCTAGATAAAACTCCAATACCCGTGTAATGGAAATGAGTGCAAACAAGAAACCTACAAAAGAACTAAAATCTCAGTAGCAAGCAATAAACTTTAAATTTCATTTATTAAAAAAAGGGGATAAAGAGAAAATCTTTTAACAACTTCATATTTACCCATCAGCCTTTAGGATTACAGCACAGTAATTTTCAGTTACCTCTAAATGTAGCATGTTTGCCATTTGACATTTTACAAAGTGGAAACTCAAAACTCATAATAGGTTTGATTTCGTCTTGAACATGGAGAGCTGAGAATTAATTAATAAAGGTATTTAATAAGAAAATGCACTGGTTTGCCAAGAAAGACTTTTTTTTTTTGAGAAGAAATGAAAGAATTTGGAAAGTTTTGTGTGGCTCCACACAAAGATATTTACATAGAGCACTTCAGAGTCCAGCCCTAGCATTCTCAATGCTTCCCAACACAGAAAAGTTCAAGAGCAGCTAGCAGTACTGCAGTTTTCTGCCTATATATATATACCTAAAACACATAAGAAAAGGGGAAAACTCCATTCTTCCATCATCAGTTTAGTAGCTTCTTTCAGCTTGTTCCCAAGTAGGACAAAGCTTTCTTTCCTTTGCCCAAAGCAGGCATAATATCAGACTTAATGGTCAGAGACACGCAATGCCAGCTTGGACCTGGATCATCTCCCCTTAAGTAACACACATATTTAGAGAGAGCCAAAAACAAGGGGATATTAAATGGAACCCAGCAAAGAAACTATAATGGGTACATAGTTTTTGTATGCGTGGGAGGCTTTAGAAGGCATCGCATCTTCTGGCATCCATGAAAGATAATGTTGGCACACAATGAGCTTCTAAAAAGGCATAAAAAAGAGCCATCCTTCCCACAAAATGAGTTCTCTTCCTTTCCTGTCACTCTACTATAAATATAGCCACAAATATCCCCTAGATCTGTTTTATTTTTTCTCTATCTAAAGCTGTTCTCAACGATGGATTCGAAGTTACTCTATTTTCTCTTTATTTGGTTTGATTCTTGAACTGCGCATAGGAAGGGCTCTTCTTCTACACCCTGGGAGGCCCTCACAGAATACAAAACACCACAGTGATCAACAGCGACCACTGGCCCACTAAATTCCTCTGCTGACAGCAACTCAAGCTCACCCTGGTTACAATTTCTAAATTAGCACATTTGTTGCATGCCTCGCTGCAATTTTTGCCCAAATGCCAAGCAAAACATGATGCTTGGCGGAGGCTAAGAAGCATGTGATCACAAAATCTAGCATCCTGCTCACCTACCTGGAAATGTAGATAAAGCCAGTCGTCCCCATACAATGGAGACGTCCCCATACAGAGAAAACCTAAGGATGCCACAACATCATACTATTCCCTCTGTCTGACTTTTTACTTAGATCAAATAGTTCTCCTGTTACATCCATCACAGCCTTCGAAGACGTAATTTACACTAGCAGTCTTAGATTTTTCACAGAATCACAGAATCTTCTAGGTTGAAAGGGACCTTAAAGATCATCTTGTCCAACCATCAACCTAACTGACAAAAATAGACACCCACACAACAAACAAGGAGCATCATCACTAAACCATACCTCCCAGCACTACATCAACCTGTCTTTTGAACACCTCCAGGGATGGTGCCTCAACCACCTCCCTGGGCAGCCCATTCCAATGTCTGATAACCCTTTCAGTGAAAAATTTTTTCCTAATATCCAGCCTGAACCTACCCTGGTGCAACTTGAAGCCATTTCCTCTCGTCCTGTTGCCTGTGACTTGAGAAAAGAGACCGACACCCATCCCTCTACACGCTCCCTTCAGGTAGTTGTAGAGAGCAATAAGGTCTCCCCTCAGCCTCCTCTTCTCCAGGCTGAATAACCCCAGCTCCCTCAGCCTCTCCTCATAAGACTTATTCTCCAGACCCCTCACCATCTTTGTCGCCCTTCTCTGGACCCGCTCCAGCACCTCAATGTCTTTTTTATGGTAGGGGGCCCAAAACCAGCACATTCAGTGTATTCACCGTGCATTGGTCTACACGAGGTCGACGTTAGAAGGTCACCATAACCTTGTCATACGGCAAGCAAGCACAATAACACTGAGCGACAGCGTTACCGGTTTTACACTACGCTGCGTTACGCTCCATTTTGACTATTGCATTTCCTTAGTATAGTAAATGTCACAGTCCTCCTTAGGATTTTCCTTCTGACCTGCCAATAAACCCAAGCTGCACAAGCTTACGTGTTCCTGCGAAGACATGGCAAATGAGACAGGAATTACCACCTGCTGTTCACTTGCACTTCCTAAGGTTACAGCCAGCTGCTGCTATTTCACATCAAATCACACAGGCTTCGGGGCCAGAGTGATCCTGACACTCTTTATGGCTGCTTTACCTTCCCCCAACACCACCTCCAGTTCTAATTAATCCCTCAGACCAAGTGCCAGTCCTGCAGCTAATTATTGTACCTGCCCTGGGGAATACAGTGTTCAGTATCACCCTGTATGGTGCCATGGACTCTCAGCAGGGGCTCTTTTATATAATCCCTTTTATCATAACTGCTGCTTTCTCCATCAGCAGCTCTGCTCACTAAAACAGTGCACCACAACAAGACAAGGATCCAAGAATTTCTTTTCACTTAGGCAATCAGTCGGCAAAGAGGTTTTTTTAATTTGAATACACCATGTAATGATTCAGACTTTGTATTGAAATAATAAAAGTGTAATGTTTAAGAAATAACACAAACAGATCAATATAAAAGTGTTATTTTCCGTAACGACCTCTGTATTTTCACAGTAAACTTTATCTGACACTGCACTCAAAATGAGCAAAACCAGAGAAAGCCAGCACTTCTCTATTTTGGTCCTAGCATTAGAAGAATTTTCAGTAGGGCAAATATCTTTTCCACACAACTCAGCTACGAATTCTGATGAGTGATCACACTCTGACCTGCCCAAAATACCCTTCCTGAAGGCAAACCTATAACTCTCACTGGAACTGATGGTAGGCAGCCAGTTAACTTCCAGAGAAGTTGGTCCTCCCCCAAACCAAGTTGTTTCTCACAGCAAAAATATTCTGCCCTGGCTTATGTTGCTCTTAAAATTTTATACCCACTACAGTTACGTGACATAACTAAGTGGTTCAAGCCACTTCTATGATATTGATTAGGAGTGGATGAAATATTTTTAAAGAGTCATTTTGGATCAAAGTGCTCTAACTCAAGTGTTCAGTATTGCAGCCCTTTTG